AATTCTTGCTGAAGTATTCAAAAAATCGTGCTATTTTTTGAAGTAGATGGTATGAAGATAGGGTTTTAATTTTTGCTTAGGTACTCTGCATGTCCAAATTAATTTCAAATTTCACTTGTCATACTCCATGAGTAAACAGGTGTGCAGCATCTGAAAATTAGTCATAGAGGAGTTTCTGGTTACCGTAAAAACGAATGGGCATGCTTGATGGGTTGGGGGAAAGAAATTATTCTTAAGCAGAAAAATATACACTAAATTATCTTTTCAGTGATTTTCTAATTCCTCTAACGGAAAAGTTTGGTTCCCATTCTCTTTCCGTGTTTTCACAAATCAATGATATCCTATAGTGGCAAAGAGTAAATCCAGTGGAAGTGGAGTAGATGCAGAACAACTTATAAGAATGTCTCTTAAGCCCCAACTGGTGTGGCTCAATGGGTTGGACGTCATCCCACAAAGCAAAAGATTGCTGGGTTCTGTTCCCAGTCAGGGCACATGCCTAGGTTGCAGGTTTGGAAGCAATTGATTGATATTTTTCTCCCTCTCTTTCTCCCTCATTTCCCCTCTCTCTAAAGAACGAATAAATATTTTTTAAAAAGGAAAAAAAAAGAATGTCTCCTGAGCTAGGAATTTCTAAACTTCTATAGTAGTCACTATTCACAGATAGATTTAACAATTTGTGAATTTTTTATTTTTAAATTTACTTTATTTTATTTATTTATTTTTAGAGAGAGGGGAAGGGAACGAGAAAGAGAGGGGAAGAAACATTAATGTGTGGTTACCTCTCACATGTCCTGTACTGGGGACCTGGCCTGCAACCCAGGCATGTGCCCTGACTGGGAATCGAACTGGCCACCCTTTGGTTCACAGGCCTGAGCTCAATCCACTGAACTATACCAGCCTGGGCTAAAGAATTTGTGGATTATAGTAAGGTGGGAACCATTCCAAGTTTTCTACAAAAACTCAGTTGTGTAATAATGAAGCTATCCTGTATGACCAAAATAAGAAAATTCTTATTTAATATTCACCAAAATATCTGTTTGTAGGAAGGACTTATTTTTTATTCTTGATATCAACTTCATTCAAAAGATTCCAAAACAAAACATAGCAACTATCACTTGAAATTCCCTAGAACTGCATATGAGATCATCTATGTATGTTATAGAAAATGTTGTAAATGCAGAAAAACACAAAGGATAATAAACACCCAATACCCAGAATTGAGGTTTATCAACATTATTACATTTGCTTTATTTGATTTGAGTAAGATAACACATCATAAAAAATTTTAAATCATTTCGATGTTTAAATTGCCAGTCTACTAAAACAAAACAGCTCTACTAGCGCTGTTTTATTTTCCAGTATATAGTAGGCATTCCATAAAAGCATGCCTCCTCTGCCATTTCACAGGTTTAAGAATCGAGTACATATTCTTTTAGTATCGTTTTAGATACTTTTAGAAATATTTGAAGGTATTAATGAAGAATGTATAAGTGTTTGGTGTCTAGGAGTAAAATTTACATAAACATTGTATAAAAATATCATTTTGTACTTAGCCTTTTTCACTCAATGCATTGTCTACCAGGATTCTGTAAGCAGAGAGGAACCTCAACATACTATTCCTAACGTGGAGAAATGCTAGGTTAACACAATAATAGAACTCCATGATCATTTTTTCCCAAATTCCTAGTTAGCCTATTATAATCAATTTTTACAAGAGTCTAGACCATCCAAGCTCAGACTGTTTGCTATAAGTTCTGGTTTTTAAAGTTTTATATAAAACATAGTTCTGAAGGAAGTAAAGTAACTGAATTAAGGAAATAAAAGAGGAAACGAAAACCTGTCAATCTAAAAAAGATAAAGTATTGTTAATGACAATTATATATACATTGTAGGATAAAGTCAATGAATAATTACTGGCTGAAATTAGGAACGTAGACTTTGGCATGGGAAGAAGCAGAGATAAGTTAATTAAGTCACAAATATGAATTATTTATGACTCCCTAGTCATAAATATGAATTGGAAGTATCCAACTCTGGATATGTTTCTTTATTTTTTTAAAAGGTTTTATTTATGTATTTTTAGAGAGCAAGGAAGGGAAGGAAAAAGTGAGGGAGAAAAACACCAGTGTGCAATTGCCTCTCACACTCCCCCTACTGGGAACCTGGCCCATACATAACCCAGGCAGGTGCCCTGACTGGGAATCGCAATGACCACCCTTTGGTTCGCAGGCTGGTGCTCAATCCACTGATCTACACCAGCCAGGGCTGTTTCTTTAGCAATAAGTAACTTTCTATTTCTGGCCTCTTAAAGTCCTAGAAATAACAGCTGACTTAGCACCAACAGCCATCCCCAGTACTCAGACAGCGGTTTCTAAATAATATTTCCCCTCTCCCAAAGGAACCAGGGCTCCTTAGAGAAATGGCTAATTCCATTTCTAAACAAGGAATGTACACTATGCCTGGCCTGGAACACCTTGTCATCTCCCTCGGAGAACCAAGCTATGAGAACTAGTCAGTGCATGCAAAAAGGATTCAGGAGTCAACTTGAAAAAACTCCCACTGGACAACGATAGACTACTTCAGCATCCAAAAGAATAACAGCAATGAACTGAAATCTACCAAAACCAAACTCACTGACACATAAAGTACATGCACAGTTTTGAGTGTATTAACTCAAACCATGAGTTAAGAATAATAAGTAAAAAGGAAACAGTTATTATTTACATGCTAGGTCATCAAATACTTTTTACTGAAATGGCTACATACTATATAGTCAAAGAATCAAGCATTTAGCCTGCCTTTGCTGTAATAACTATGTATACTTCAGAAAAACTGGAGAGTTGATAAAGGCAAGTTTTTAACTTATAGAAAGTCAAATATTAAACCTGAATGTAATCAAACTTCTAGATCTAACTACCAACTAATAAAGAATACAGAGAATAGAAAAATGCAGTCAGCGAACTCCAGTCTGGGGGGAGAGTCTAAGGGGCAAATGATCTTCAAAGGATGGACGCGGGTTGGGCAGGCATGTGGGGAGAGGAAGGTGGACACCTCTAAGTTCAGAGAAATCAGCCAATGAAAATGTGTGGATCTTCTTTTGTTTCAGATTCCTAAAAAATTTTTTGTGTGTAAAAAATCATTTATGAGACAACTGGGGAAATCTGAACACTTAAGAATAAAAAATTAATACTAATTTGGTGACATAATAATACTGTGGTCAGTTTTTTTAAATGAGTACTTAACTTATAGAAATCATATTATTTTATTCGGACATATTTAAGCTTGTATTCTTTCCAAATAATTTGGGGTAAAGGAGAAGTTGGTCAGCATACAGACGAAGGAAGAGTAAGCCAGTGCTGACAACTATTTACACAGGGTAAGGAAAGCACAGGGGCCCTTGTACTCTCCTCTCTGCTTATATGTGTGAAAGTTTTAGAAAAAAATGATAAAGGCTCAGGGATGTTGAAAACTGTAAAATGCTGGAAGGCATCATTAGAGTACAGATAATATTTTCCAAAAATTTCAAAATCCTTTTGGTGAGGCATACTCTGTGAACCTTACGTGTAAATAAAAATTAAACTGCTCTTTGGGGTTAGAGACTCATGCCCTGACACAGACTGCAATGGAAGAAGCCTTCAGAGCAGATCCAAATCCTGAGCACCTCGAACACAGCGCCTCACGAAATGCACCAAGATGAGCATATTTCGTAGCAGCAAATGACTGCTTAGATGTAGGGAACTAACGTAACGAAAATGTACAGATCACTGGAGTTTGTGCAAACCCTCTTCCTGATCATTTTTATTAAGAAAGAGTGACTAAAGAGGCTTTTAATGATCCCATCATTTCTGCTTAGTGGTAGAACAGTTAATATGTAATATGAAAAAATAAAAATAAAATCATAAATATTAAAATGAATAGCTTTTTATTTTGTAGTATATTTACATCTATTCCTTGTACTCCGGAAGCCTCGTCATAAACTTGCTGGTTTTGCTGAGCAAAACACCAACAGAACAGGTGCCTTTGTCAATGCTGTAGGTGAATGCTGGCAACTTTTTGGACACCAGCTGTGTGCTAATGAGCCTTGCGATTGCCTAAATCACCAAATATTACATAATGCTTCTTCAGGCTTCCAGGAATGAGGCTGGATGTTGGCTGGCAGACGCCCCTGAGGAGACCGTGCCTGATCCTAACAGCTGCTATGATGAGCTCCACCAGATACAAAGAACTGGTTGCATAAACATGGCCTGAGAGTCACCTCAGGCAACGGGGCGGAGAGTGCTTTGGGGGATGCAGACAAAAACATTCTCTGCTCTAATGATACTGACACAGGCACATGACCAGTGCCTGGTTATGACGGATTGCCTTTTTTTTTAAATACTCACCTGAGGACATGCTTATTGATTTTTAGAGAGAGGGAAAAGGAGGAAGAGAGAGAGGGAGAGAAAGATCAGTGTGTTGATCGGGTTGCTTCTCCCACACATCCCAATCAAAGAGTGAACCCACAACCTAGGTATGTGCTCTGACCAGGAATCCAAACCGCAATCTTTCTGTCTTCCGGACGACACTCCCATCAAGGGAGCCACACTGGCCAGGGCCGAGCGCCATTTTTTGATTAAGTATTAGTAACGGCACAACATTTGAACCCTATGCTCTACTATAGACTTCAATGGTGTGGCTTTCCATTTAGCCATTCATCTAGGTGTATGCAACAAAAACAGAAAACGGACACACTCTTTCTAGTCTTAAGAGATAAACTGGAAATCTGATTATTCCATGAACAGCTTGGACAAGATGGCCTGAGAACTTCTAAAATAAGAGATTGGTTATAGTGTGGGAAATTTGGTTGCAATGAAGGGCTTCTCTCGGGACATGGCTTTATGTCCTCGTTTCTACTCACTAACCAAACATAGGAGATGTAAGGTAAAATGCTCAATTGTTGCTTCTTTCAACCAAGTCTGATGAAATGGATGCATTTCGATGGCAGTATGAAAAACACCTACCTGAAGACTGCGAGGGTCAGAGACCAGATCACTAAAGGCTTCCTCAGTTCAAACTTCGCCCGTTTGTTCATTACGTGCCGACCACCAAAGATAAAGGCAGCGTACAGAGCAGAAAACAGGAAAGATTTCTTCCTGTGAACAAACAAAATGCCAAAATCTTATAAAATAAAAATCTAAGCAATTTACTTTTCATCCATTAAAATTTCTATTTAGTCACTATTCATCAACTTTTATACCAGTCCCTTCCTTGGTATAAAAACACTGAAAATATTTTCTTGGGAATGTGCCTCTTCACTAAAGAGACTTTTAGTCCATTTGGCAACAAGGCGCCATTGCATCCTCTCTTAGGGAAGAACACAGAACCACCGGAAGTATACTTGCCTAAAGCTTTGAGCTTGAATCTAACCAAATGTCTGATTTTACTACCTATTTATAGGAAATACAGGGAATGGATCCAAATTGTGGGACATTCTATAGGGCAACTGAACTTATTTCTTCAACAGATCAGTAGTACGGAGCGGAGCCCACATCTGAGACTACTGTAAAGTAACAGTGACTTGAGATAAGTAACAATCAAGTATAACATGTAGAGCTTTTTTGGACCCTTATTTGAAAAAGACATTTTTAATAAAACCAGCAAGCTGTCGGTCATAATTTAAAAAGTCCTTCATTAATATTTATGGGTGAAATTATGTCTTGAGTTTGCTTTAAAATTCTCAGGAAACAAACAGAACCAAAACAATATTAAAGGTGGTGAGATGAAACAAGATTAACAAAAGAGACAATGGAACACAGGGGGCTCATTATTCTCTTTTTGGCAATCAGATTTACTTACTGGGGACGCTTAGTCAGAAATGGCTAAGGAATACCAAGTAAAATCTCCAGGTCCTACTGGCTCGCTACTGTGCCAAGGAGAAGTGTACAATAGTATTGATAATGCCAAAAAGAATAAAAGCTCTTATAGACAACTAATTCAATAAAAAGTAACAGAGGCCTTGTAAATAATTTCACCATCTGAACAAACTCCCTGAAGAAGCGATGTTTCCCTTAAAATGGGTGTTCCCCACTTGACCATACTAAAACAAAAGGATCGAAAGTTACAAGGCATAATACAAACAGCAAAATGCATTAACTTGAAAAGCATTATTTGTCAAATGTTTCATTTTTTTTCTTAATCACTGACACGTACTGCTGACTCATGAGGAATCTTATTATTTACCCAAGCAACACTCCCAACTCAATGAGAGCAAGTGACCTACATGGTGAGCACCACCAAACGAAGAGAGTGATGCCAGAAATCAAACCGCACACAAGGGTGAGACAAATCACTTTCACTGAGGTTTGCAAACTCTTCTCTCAGAAACACGTACACAGGAGTGCTTATTAAATATTTGTTGAGTTATCACAGTCTTGGCATATCAAATTTTCTCACAAGGAAAATAGCTCCATACACGGCTGCTCAGCAAACACTAAGTAAGTTTACAGTTGACTTGGTAATATATTAATACCTGAAGGATAAAATAGTAGGAAAACAAACATATGATCCATTTTCTTCCAGAAAGAAAAAGACTATTTCTATAGTTCAAACAGAAGCGAAAAAGTAGAATAAATTTATGGAAACTTCACTATTGAACATTTCAAGAAGAACGTACTTTGGGCCATAAATATATTTATTGTTTCACTTCTTTGAATCTTGCCGGTGTACAGTGTTACTTCTAGAGTGAGAATCACTGTGTGCATTTGCACTCATATAGGACTCACTAAAGAAAAACAAAATTCTATCAAGTTAATGTAAGCAATAGTGATATCAAATAGTACACATGCTTTTTAAAATGATAAAAGTAATGTGAAGTGAAAATAAGCATAGTATTATGATTTAGGAAGTGATCAAGTAAAAATAGTGCTTAAAAGTCTTCTCATTTAATCTTCCTAATCATCCCTGATGCAGGTAAAGTGTTACCATCATTTTACGGCCAAGGCACCAGGCTTAGAGGTTAAATAACCTTGGATCTCCCTGCTTCCCTGTGGTAAATTTTCAGGGTCAGGGGAGGAAGGATGTGCTCTCTTCCAGGCACATACGAGTTCCTTAAGCCTTTCCACTGAATTCCGTGATTATCGTGGAACTGTGTAGCGCCTTACTTAACTGTAAGCAAAGCAAGAGGAATCTCCACACACTCGTTCCCACATCCTGGGCATAGAACACTTTGATCCAACTCCCTTGACTTCCCAGAGAACAAATTATTGCTTGGTCGATCTAATTTAAGTTTTGGTTTTGGTTAGATTGTGTTACTTGAAATTATGAATCAAGTTCAATGAGTGTCTTTATATGATCCTCTCATTCTAGACATTAAGGGGGAAATGATGTGCCTCGAGCAACCAAGAAGAGACTAAAAATCTTCCCCCTGTGTTTTTTGTCTCATTTCTTCAGTTCTAGACCAAGAACTAGTCCTAATGTAGCGCTAACTTCCTGGCAAGGACCGTTCTCTATTTCACAGGTTTTTTAAAGAAAAAAAAAAAACCTTCAAAAACTTTCACATGTTTTTAAAAAAAAAAAAACAAACCTTCACAAACCTTCAGTTTCATAGCCAGGATAACCAAGTGAATCAATACAAACACACAGAATTTGAGAATTGCAAGGGACCTTAGAGGCGGAGCCCACTTCATTGTTCTACAGAAGAGGGAACTGGGGGCCAGAGGCGGTGCTGATGATGTTGGTAGCTCATGGTCACAGGGCTGCATACTGAATATGGGTCACAACTACCAAAAATCAACATGCATTAATTGTCTAGGCTATCTATATCTGGGTCATAGGTAGTCAATAATGCAAACTGATATGCTATAATAAAAATGTTGCATGCTATATACTATATAAATCTTCTGTGGTAACATTCAAATAATGCTTTGGGTTAATTTAGAATTAAGCTTAAGCTTCTTCTATAACAGGGAATCATCTTAAGAAAATATTAACTCTTACTTCCTCAACTGCATAATCAAAATGTATATCATTTATATAGTTGAATGTATTATAATTTTTCCATTTTGCTTAGAAGAAGGTAAGATTTTCTTTAACAAGCTGGGTTAGGTGAATTAAAATTGCCTTTTAGTCCTGACATGTGGTAAAGGTTTGATTATAGTCAGGATGAATAATGACCCATTTACTACTATTTAATGTCAATCAGCGATTTTCAACATTTTGCATCTCATGGCACACACAAACTAATGACTAAATGCCACAGCACACCAAAAATACATTTTTTGCTGGCCTGACCAAAAAAAGTATAATTTTTATTCATTCACACCAGATGAATATTGCTATGTTGGCTGCTGTCATTTTATTTTTAAGTTGACAGTCTAAGGGAAAAGAGGTCAGTGCCCCTGACTATACAGTCAGACACCACATGTTTTAAAAATTCTTGCAGCACACTGCTGTAGACAAATGACTTCCCTAATGTCTCAGTGGTAATGCAGTAATTCTTCTAATTCTGGCCGGCCTTCATCACTTGGTACAATGTAACACTACATTCTTTTATTGCCAGATAACTAGCAATTTCTAGATGGCACAGACTCTTCTTTAATAAGTCTTAAATGTACATTATACAGCACGACCCTTGACTGTAGGTGCTATTTCAGTACTTCTCAGGATGGTGACTCTGTGCTACGATTATCAGGTAACCAACCAAACAAAGAGTGCCCAAACGGAGTACTGGTGAGTATTCACCATCTTCTCCTCTTCTCCTTCCATCTCCGTCATCTTTATAATGGAAACTGCTCCATAATTAGTAAAACCAAATAATAGCTCTAGCCTTAGAGATTTAGAGTTCTCCATTATGCTACCCTGTTCCAAAACATTCCTGGGATATTTTTTTTTATTCTTACCAGAGTAGCTACTCAATATCTGTATTTATTGTCCAGTCCAATACCACTCTCAAAGAGCGTGTATATGTTCAAATGCTGCTTTCTTTTTTTTTTTTTTTCAATTTCTGGGATTCAGGTGAAACTAGTACTTAGCTTCAGTCTCTTTAATATTACATCAAGATTTCTGTCAGCAGACTTGCTCTCCTTGAAGAGTCAAACAAGTTTATTTGAGGATGGCGAAACTTTCATGTGGGTAGCATTTCAACAGAGGATAATTGCTAATGAACACCTTCAAGAGGTGGCCTTAGCTCCTTCATGTCTAAGTAAACTTGTTTTGTGGCTACAGTACATGTGTAAGGAGCAACAAATTGTGAAAAGTGAAAATTAAGCTGCAAGGGAGAATAAAAAAGCAGACCTAAAAACGTCTCCTGCTTTGGCTGACAGCTACTTAGCTTACAGAAAGTTTTCATGTTCTAAGTGGAAGAGTCTGAAGCTGAGAAAAACTGCTAAGTGCTGAGGCCACGTCGCTTTGAAGACTTCTCCTTTAGTGCAGTTGCTGATTCCAGTCAGGACACAATTCAAGGTTCTAAAAGTAATTCTAAGGCCACAATAAATTGGAGACCCAAAGACTGAAGGAAGTAACACACTCCTTTTCACCAAAAAGTGGATGTCCCTGGTGGTTACAATTTCATACAAATATAAAGGAGGGTTTTCTTAAAAGAGATTTTCAAGTTGTGCTGTCAGAGTTCTAGCCAGGGCTGGATTTTGTCCGTCTTGAGATTTCAAGATCCCCAAGGCCTCACGCAAAGGCATCTTTCTATTTTAAAAACAATGGAAATTTCTCAGCAATTTTTGTTCACAAATAAATTATAACTGAAAATTAACTCTGTGCCCTGAAATTTTGACAGATAATACTTTTGTGAATGTAATTAAATATGCCCATAATTGCCCTGGCTGGCGTAGCTCAGTGGATTGAGCGCAGGCCTGGGAACCAAGCAACCACGGTTCGATTCCCAGTCAGGGCACATGCCTGGGCTGCAGGCTACTTCCCACCCAGCAGGGGACACACGGGAGGCAACCACACATTGATATTTCTCTCCCTCTCTCCTTCCCTTCCCCTCTAAAGATAAATAAAATATTTTTTAAAATATGCCCATAATTAATACAAATGGATAACGACTTTATAACCGCAAGACAAAGCCATGACTAAAGTAAAGGGTGCTATTCTTGTCTGTTATATTTGACCCAGAAGATCAAATGATGTAGGATTTATGAGC